TTTAAAAATCTTTTAAAATTTTCTATTGAATAATGAATGGTATTTTAACCGTGAATTCGCATAAGTCATTGAATTACGTAATTCTCAATGCTTTACTATAATATACCATATGGAAACCTTCGATTTAATTAAAATTTTTTACTACGTTTAGGTCTTGTATGAATAGAGTGTTTACTGTAGGTCACTCCACTCAATAATCTTCCCACGAAAATTGAATTCGGAATCTTTATATGCGATTGAATAATCCAGCAGATCAGTGGACAAGCGGCGTTGTGTGCAAAGGTCTCGATCTAGCGGTCAGTAAACCATTATAGCAGCAATCTTGTCGTAAATGATGTAATAGGTTTACATAATTTCAAATGGACGCACTTATTAGGTTTTCCATTGTGCATTGTGCAAAAGACAATAAGACATTAAAAAGATTTCCTTTTTTTTACTGACGTCAATTGTTAAATTCAAGAAATGTATGATTTTTTGGGGATAATTGTATGTCCGGTGAAGAACAGGAATACCAGAATTAGAAATTTATTTTACCTTTAAAACAGCAGGTAAATGAAGCACAAATAATTTACAAACTATCGAATTATTACTATCGATTATTTAAAGGTACGTGATTAAATTAACTATAGGATTGTGACATAATACAAATTGGAAAAGCGTCAGAAAGAACTAGGCTAATATTGATCGTGAACACAAAACAAAATAAATAATTAAAATAGAAACAGATAATTTACTTATTTAAAACAAAGGACAAATCAAAAAAAAAAAAAAATAATTGGATGGGGCGATATACAGGTTAACTATAAAATTTAGAATATAATGTAAGAACAAATCGCATAATAGCAATCTTGAAAAAAAAAAAAATATAGAATTTCAAACAATTTTCATTTCTTGAAAATTTTTTTCACTTTGAAATAAAAATTGCTTTTGTTTTCACCAGACGAGCTTGTAGAACACTTTTACATTATTTAATTATATAATATATAAAAATATTTTGGAAGAAATTTAAGTAAATAATTTGTATAAAAAAAACTCGTGATAGAAATTTAAATAATCTATTAAGAATTGTTCGTGAAAGAATTTTAAAAAATTAACAAATCATAAAAAATTTCAAGGAAAAAAAAAAAAAAAGTGATGAACAGTGACAGGAATAAAAGTGATGAAGGAAACGATAAACCCTGGTTCCCAAAATGATACGCATAATTATATGGTTAACAATATACTTTATGACGGCTTTTCATTGGCGCAACAACCCCAGGTGGACAGAGGCTGCCTGTCTATTGGCACATTTCGAGACATTAGATATTGTCTTTTTACGGAATAGGGTTGTCCGCCCTACAGCCATATTAGATTGGGATCTACTGTTTAAAGTAGATTCCGAACCGTTACAAACATCCATGGCACCGCCGCGATTTGAACCCAAAACCTGTGGCATCCCGCTCCAGTGCGCTATTTACTCGGCCATCAGGCTTCATGGTATTTAGATCTCTTTAAAAATGTCGAGATTTTGCATAAACAAAGAATTTTGAGTGCATCAAAGGGAAATAGTTTAGGGACTTTAACGGGATTTAGTTTACATTCATAGGAGTGCAACGTAGATCTACCTCCTTGTGATGTATTCCGGACAACGTCTGATACTTCAAAATGACCTACAAGCATGGACTTCAATCCGGCTTTCAGTGTGAGTATATTAGAGTTCTACTGTGTAACGCAGGTGGTTTGTCCTATTAACATCGATGGTATTGCTATTGCTTTTTTGTGGTCACGATTCTCTCCGCAAGCACTTTCACAGATCTTGATCCTCTCTGTCTCCTCGTGTGATGGCCAGGAAGAAATGGATAGGTCCCACCTTGCTTCCTGTTCTGAACTGCCTCCATGTTTCTTTATAGAAGTGTTGCTGGATTGCTAGACTTAAGGGGATGGATTAACGGATGTCATTTGTTTCTGTCTTGTTCTTTGCATATTTATCTTTTTATGATGTCTGTGGTCCTGTAAACCATTGCCATTGGAAATTAATTTTTTTGTTCTAATGCAGCTGGCAAACACTTAGACACTTGTCTTTGATGCCTTAAGGCAAGCGTTGCACAGACGTTACTCACTTTGCATGACCCAGAGGGCGCGTGTAACTTAAAGATAAGCCACGGACGCGGAATTAACAATGCCTCCGCAACGCTCTACAATCATGTTAGACCGGGACCTACGGTTTAAAGTGGGGACCGATTTAAAGACCTGGAGCACTACAACATCCATGGCACCGCCGGGACTCGAATCTGAAAAACCTGTGGTACCGAGCGCCAGAGCGCTATCCACTCAGCCATTCAGTCCCTTTGGAAATTAATATATATATATTTATATATACATACACACACTGGTGTCCAAAAGTTAAGCATAAATCGTAAAATGCGAAAAACATGGAGTAAATATTCGTAAAATTATTCCAAATTTCTTGCGGATATTAATTGGGTGAAGAAGAAACATTGGGTTTATGCAAAACTTTTCAGTCGTCTACGTCCTGCGCAAAACACCTGCTCATGTCGGAACGCAGAGAAACCGATTCACGCAGCATAGGCAGTTCAGACAAGTTTCGTGCAACTGCTGTGCGAAGGAACGTTGTTAACCATCAAACAAGGTGAATGATGGCACAAAGACGCCAATTGGGCATGTTTGCGAAAGGAAGAATCGTTGGAATGCTGGAATCCGGACGATCACAAACCGAAGTGTCTCGAATTTTGAATGTGGACCAGTCTGTGATCTCAAGACTGTGGCAGAGGTTTCAAAGAACGGGAGATGTTACCGACAACCAGTATCAGGTCGACCAAGAGTCACAACCCCTAGCCAAGACCGATATCTGGTAATAAGTGAGCGACGTCAGAAGGGCAGTACTGCTAGAGCACTGGGTTCGGCGCTCACAGTCGCCACAGGAATACGAATTTCGAGACAAACTGTTTACTGGAGATCATGCTGGCCTGTATACCAGAAAACCAGCAGTTTGCATTCTCCTCACGTCTGCGCATAAACGCGCCCGTTTGAACTGGAGTTTGAAACATCAACATTGGAGTGTGGGAGAGTGGGCCAATGTGATGTTCAGTGACGAGTCCCGGTTTAGTCTGAGTAGTGGTTCTCGTCGGGTAACGATATGGAGAGAACGTGGAAACATGTTTTGAACCAAGAAACATAACGGAAAGACATCATTTTCCATCAAGGAGAGTAATGGTATGGGCAGGCATCATGATGGACGGCCGCACAGACCTCCATTTCTTTGACACGGGGTCTGTGACTGGTCAAAGATACAGAGACGAAGTTCTTGAGCCTTATGTTCGCTTGTTTCGAGGTGCTGTCGGTCCTGACTTCATATTCATGGATGATAATGCGTCATGTCACCGATCGGTGCTGGTTGATGACTTCCTTGAAACGGAAAACATCCAGCGCATGTCGTGGTCTGCGAACTCCCTTGATTTAAATCCTATCGAGCATGTATGGGATATGCTCGGGAAGCAAATTGCAGCTCTTTCGCACCCTACCAAGCTTCGTTACAGAACTGAAGAGAGCTCTCCAAGAAGCTTGGAACCGTTTGAGCCCACAACTCATTCACCATCTCATAGCAAGTATGATAAATCGCTGTGCAGCGTGCCTGGCTGTCAGAGGTGACCACACGCCTTATTAAACTGCAGCATCAGTATTTTATTTAATGTTTTCTTTCATTTTCTTTAAGTGGGAACCCTTGCTATGCTCAGTTTTCTTTCAAACTGCTACTTTGGATAATAAAATTAATTATTATCGTTCTTTTGATTTGCTTTCTTATTTTATAATCATTTTACACTCGCATATCACGTTTCCCGCCATACTGATTTACAGTTCCTTCCTTATTCACATAATTATCAATTATGCTTAACTTTTGAACACCAGTATATATATATATATATGCTTTAAGGCATCTAGATCTCTTTAAGAATGTCGAGTTTTTGCACAAGCAAAGAATTCTGAGATTTATTTTTTTTTTTTACAGATTTACTTTTATACTCATGTAAATTGTTATCTTCTTCGTCGCTTAAAGTGTAAGCTTTTTATCTTTGCTTTTTTTTCTTCTTCTTACACTTGATTGCAAATTGTGCAATTCTACAAGTTGAGTTTTCTGTCTTGATAAGATGCTTTTATCTTATTCATGATAAAGTTTCTGGTGTTGATTGAATACGACGTACCTAAATATGTTTTCAACATTTTCTTGATTAATTTTTGTGATCGAGTAAGTTTTTCGATTCTAATTAAAAGTTTTGCATTGATTACAAGAATTTTTTTTCTGATTGAGTCATCCATTATGATTGTTACAAACATGAATAAACATTCAAAAACAAATGCATATGAAAGAATACGATTAAAAATTAACATTTGATAATAATAAAAGAAAATTAGAAACTTTAAAATATTTCTTTATAAATAATACATTTGTAAGGAAATATTGGGGTTTCATTTGGTAGGCAGCAACATCTAGACCAAGTCCAAGAATTCCTGTGGTCTCGTGGAGGGAGTGAAAGGGGGAGGGGGCAGCTTCTGTTGTGATGGAGCACCCGTAGATATTTGATAAATATTGGTTGACTTGGATCCGTGACGCTGACTTTTTACGGGGTAGGATTGTCAGCCCTACGCCTAACGCTCTACAGTCATATTTTACAGGGACCTACGGTTTGGGTCTTATTGACCATTTCCCTGTGAGCAGCCCAATGCAACATGACCTTGAAGACGGCATGTCGTGTATTCTGCACCGACGAACGCTGTTACTCATTTAGCAATACCCAGTGGGCACGAGTAGCTTGAAGATAGGCTACGGACGCAACACTACCCCCACAACGCTCTACGATCCTATTAAACCGACACCTATGGTTTAAAGTGGATTCGAATCACTACAAACATCCATGGCACCGCCGAGAGCAAACCCTAAACCTCGTGGCACCGAGCTCCAAAGCTCTAGGCACTCGGCCATCAGTCCCTATAATTTTGAATGCCAACGGCACGCAGTGTTCCCAAGTGGTTACCCTTCCCAAGTTTTGACCGCACCCGCTGATGCTTGATTTCGGTGATCGAACGAGAACAGGTATATTCAGCATGGTATGGCATTGGCTATTTGGAAATAAAAGCAAATTAACATTAGAAAGTAAAAGAAACTTATTGATCCCATTCTTGATATTTTAATTAAATAACTTTATTTGCTTTTTTAAATTGAAAAGTTTTAGGAATAGAATTTTTTTATGTTCAATAAGTTTAATTTTGATCAAGAAGGAATGATTTGATTGATTTTTTTTTTCTTTTTTCAGCATTTGTTGCTATGAATCCAAAATATCTTTTTAGACACACTATTCACTTATAACTATTTACTATTAACAATTCACAAATTATTCATTTATTATTTGAGGCAATTGAATATGTTTTGTTCAAAATTAAGATAGTCTATGAATTTTATATCTAAATCATTTTTGTAATTGTTATTTTTTATAGCTAAATCATTTTTGTTATTTTTTAATCTAAATCATTTTGAATTAAATTGTTTGATTTCGATAATCAATTGATTAAATAATTGGGGGTATTTCGATAAACTATTTAATTGCCGTAGGTCCCGGTCCCGGTAATATGATTGTTGAGCGTTGGACGTAGATCTGACAACCCTACTCCGAAAAAGAAAAATATCTCTCGTCTCGAAATCTACTAGTAGGTAGACGGCCTTGGCCCACACTGGGCTGTTGCGCCCATGATGATTTAAAACTCTAGTTGTCTATTTTAAAGTGTAATTTTTTAACTACAATTATTATTTTATTTTACACATAAAAGCTAGTTTTGTAGAGAAAATAGGGATAAAGAATAGGAAATAAAAAATAGGAATTTTGATGATCAATAAGGACGATTTTGACCAAAAAAAAAAAAATGTTTTAATTTATTTTTTTCAAAATTACTTTTCAGCGTTCGTTGCTATGAATCCTAAGTATCATTTTAGACAAACTATTCTTTTAAATCCTTCATAATTTAGGCATTTGAATATGTTTTTGTTCAAAATTAAGACAATCTATGGAATCTTATATCTAATTCAGGAAAATTTAATGTTTGAGTTTCATAATTATATTAAATAATTGGAGTTATTTTAAAACTATTGTTACCTATTTTTTTTTTTTAAGCTATTTTTAATGTTGCACAAAAATGTTAATTTTGTAGAAAAAAAGGGATAAGACGTATTAAAGAAGAAATGGCTCTTATCTTAAAACAAGGAAGACATACTCGGTGATTTGTAATTTCAGAATCACTTAAAGAACTTTGTTTCAAAAGCATATTTCGAAAGCTGCGTTTAAAAGACTTTATCTACGATTTGAATCTTTATTTGTCATAAACCATCAAATTTTTTTGCGGAAAATAGTTTAGTTGCTTCTGTTATAAATTCTTAACTTATCTCAGTGACTTACCTCTGTTTACATAATTGGTTAAGGACATTGATGATATCATTGACGAATTTAAAATTCTTTACAAAAAATCGTTGACAGCAAATTATCCCTGTATACCGCTTTAGAAATATTTTTCCTATTATTCAACAAACTACGACTTGCTTAATCATAAATGTGAATAATTTTATTGGTTAATCTTTTTTATGCAATAATTTTTAGCATAAATTTTATTTATCACAACTAAAATCGACAATGAACCGGTTATGCTTATTATTAATAAATTAACACTCATTTTCTTATCCCTAGATATGCAACTTCCTTGAGTTTCCCAAAAACTATATTCACAGAATAAATGCTTTTTGTTATGTGTGACCGTGATGTTGTCTTGACTAGAGAACTTGACTTGATGTTGTCTGACTGACATCTCCAAAAGAAGTGAAGATATAAAATATAAAATAAGAAACAGTATTACGTTATTATTTAAAACAGATTCATCTCTCGCACAACTCAAGAAATTTTCATTTCAAAAACTTTTATTCTAAATAAACGCTGATTTTCCCGTGATTTTATTTGTGTGTGTTTTAAAACTGGCATGAAATATGTGTTGCTAAATATAACTATTGACCCAAGTCAAGTCACGTGCTCTGTAGCTCATTTTGAGTTGTCTGGATTTCACAATAGAAACAAATCATTGCTTTCAATGTCCTCAAAATAGTGTCTAACGATCAATTTATGTTTATGAAAGTTAATTTAACCTTCACTTGACAGACTTCTCTGTCTGAATTCGGTAGTACTTTTTGTAGTATTTGAACAATTGCTTCTTCATAAAATTTTTAGGGTTGTTAAATTTTGTTAGATTTCTGTCGCTAATGAATTTTATAGTTCTTGTGGGGATTTTGCACTTTAGGGTTCCGATTTCGTCAAGTCTTTTTCCGCACTAAATTGAATCGCCAAAACCGCAATATTTTGTAACCGCAGCTGCCATTTTATTTGCTTAGATCATTTATTATCTACATAAGAAGAACCATTTTATATATTAGAATATTTTATTGAAGAACCATTTTATATATTAGAATATTTTATTGAGGAACCATTTTTATATTATTCAGAACCATTTTATTTGCTTTATTTGTGAAAATCGCAAGGGAAAAAGTCACCAAATAAACAAGTGGCATCCTAAAGTGCAGAACAACCGTTCTTATAGTATTCTGATCCATTGCTTCATAAAATGCTTGGGTTGTTTAACATTATACTCCCCATGTGTATTAGCCCAGCAAATTATGTTTATCATCATCATCAATGGAGCAAAAGTGCTATGGTGGGCCAAGGCCATCTGCATACTTACAAATTCTGAAACATGAGCAGTTTTGTTTTTACGGGGTAGTGTTGTCAACCTTATGCACAACGTTCTACAGTCATATTAGACCATGACCTACGGTTTAAAATGGATTCCGAACTACTACAAACATTCCTGGTACCACCGGGAATCGAATCGAAACCTGAGGACCCAAGCGCCATTCACACGGACATCAGACCTCTCATAAAGTTCTAGAGTGTTATTAAATATTGTTATATTCCTGCCGCTATTGAATTTGATATTTCTTGTGGGGAATCTGCACTAAGGTTCCAAAATTTCGCCGAGTCTATTTTCTGCGCCAAATGGAATCGTGAAAAAATAGCAGTATTTTGTGACGCCAACTGCCATTTTGTTTGTTTGGAAAGGGGGATTGGCGAAAACCATATGATAATATGCTAATGTTGAACCTAAAGTGCAAACTGTCGTTCTTATAATAAGGACCCTAAAGTGTATTCTTTCTGCAAAGCATACTCATCATCATCATTATCGTCAATGGCGCAATAGCCCTATGGTGGATCGAGGGGCCATGAGATATTTTGACATAATGAGACGGAGGAAGGCACGGGATAGTGCTGATAGGGTTGACAGCACTATCCCGTTTTGTTTTTAAGGGATAGGGCTGTATACCCTACGCCCAACACTCTACAGTCATAGTAGACGGTTAAAGGTAGTTTCCGAACTACTGTAAACATCCATGACATCACCGGGACTCGAACTCGAAATCTGAGGCACCAAGCGCCAGAGCACTTGTCACATTGCCATCAGTCCCCAAACTTTGTTCACACATAATAAATTGAAATTCTTGAAATGATTTTAATTTTTATTTACTAAATAAACTTTTTGGTTGTTTTATTTATAATGAGCAACTCATAAAGCGTTTCGTTCCAAAATCCGAAATATGTAAGCAAATAACAGTTATTTAAAAATCACACAACTGCGTCATAAGAGAAATCAATTTATATTACGTGAACTGTCATTAGAAACCATTTGATTCATTACAATTGATAATTTATTTTTCGAGAAATCCCATCTAAAGAGAGAAAAAAAAATCATATTCACTTGTTTTTCCTTAATTTACTACTTTATTTTTAAGGTAATAATTTTAAAGCTAAAGTTGTGTTTATGTTTGTATGCAGTGAAAGCAAATGTTTTCCGCATTCTACGCTGTGTTGATTGATTTGCGTCATTCTACTACACGATACAGTGATTTGATTGATTTAAGTCCTCATAAAACTACGTAAGTGTTGGAAAATATCTAAATTTAAAGAATCTAAAATTAATCTACTCACGTTTTGAATACGGTACTTTAGAAAATATCATCGATGCTTTTGAATTGTTTGCTTTCGTCAAGACATTTTAAGTGCAATTCAACTCATGTTTGAAAGCAAGAGTAAATATTTTGGAAACAATTCTTATTTACAGTCTTCAAGGACATCAGTAATTGAATTTCCAATATTCTTCTTTAAAGAATTATAATAACTTCCCACACCAAATAATTCAATTGTAAAGCAAAAAGCTGCAAGGCTAAATATTTACAATATATTACAATACTAAATATTTAATTATGATATTAATAATCATAATTAATGATTTACTTACAGTCTGAAGATAAAGTGAGTTCATTTTCGAATGTTGGAATAAATCTCAATAGAAAGCATTGCCCGACTGTTGGCTTGTACTGAAACAGCTATCGTTCAAACGATTTAAAAATTCCAGCAGTGGCGACCGTAGGGACCTCAAGGCCGAGTGGCTAGCTTTCTGGCGCTCTGTACCATAAGTTTCAGGTTCCAGTCCCGGCGGTGCCATGGATTCTCGTAGTGGTTCGGAATCCACTTTAAACAGTATGTACCGGTCTAATAGGATCGTAGGGGTAGTCGGGTAGGAGTTACTCGCGTCCGTAGCATATTTTCATGGTACATGAGCTCCGTGCCTCCTGGGTAGTGCTAAATGAGTAACAGCTTGAGCCCTTGCTTATGGTATAAAGATTTACTGTCTAGTGTATTGCCAGCTGCATTAGAAAAACAACAACAGTTGCTACCGTTGCAGTCACGACTTTCAGAAAAGAAGAGATTCGATGTCGATTTTGATAGTATATACAGGCGTCTCGTATCGACAAGGTCTGCCTGGTGGGTGTATTCTGTATAATAAGCTCTATTTTAGATCTTTTTGAGCTGATAAATCTTACATCAGGATCCTATGTGTGTACCATAACTATTACGAGACTGTCGAATAGAAAAGACTATAAAATTTTAGGACCCAAAGCTCTTAATTTTTTTCTTACATGCACAATAAAGCTGTCCAATATGTTGGGCATTGAGTCTCATGAGGATT